GTACCTTAAACTTAAATTTACTTAAAATAACTAAAGGTAAGGTTACCGTTACGTAAGGTAAACCGTAAACGTAAAAACGTAAAAAGTAAATTAATTAAAGAACATATGTGTGTGTGTGTGTATATATATATATATATATATATATATGTAGATAGATATGAACTGTTTCACAGTTTTAGGAACCCTAAAAGAAGTCCTTCTGGTGGGAGGGCAGTAAGTTTACATACTTTACAACACTAAAATTTGGGGTTTAATTCCTTGTGGTGGACAAAGTAGTTAGTCCAATGTGGCTTTCATCTAGAACTGAACCCTAGAAGAACCTCTACAGAAACGAAGTTACTGTTTGCTTTTATAATTTCCCTCTTCTGAATCTTTAAACATGCTTGATTGTATTCAATGCTGTGCTAACTAGGTTTTTATATTGTTGCAAATACTGATACTATAAATTAGAAAATGATTGATAACTGTTAGTAATATTTTTGTATCTTGATTGCCTATAGACAGTTAATGGTATTGGTAGCAGCAATTGTCTTTAGATGATTATTCTTTCAATGTGTGTAGGTAAAGTTATGTAAAGTAAATTTGTCTTTATAAGCTGTAGACATCTTACCATAATTTATGCAAAATAGACATGAAAACTTGGCATTTAAAGAAAGAGAGCATAGATAAAAAGTCACACTCAGTGTATGATAACTGTATTTATATATTATAAATATATAATATATATTAAAAATAAAGTACTTCATTGGTTTATTAAGATTTATGTTTGAAACTCTCCATAAATAGATTCAGGTGTATATATATATCATTATTTAAAACCAGTGTATTAATAGTTGGGGCACTTAAATGTTTTATTTAGATTTATGAATATCAAATATAACGTGGATATCTGTTACAAATAAAATTAAAATTGTTTTAAAAAAAAAAAAAAAACTTTAGATGGTTCCGAAAGTTATGAATTTTAGTTCTGGAAAACGTTTCTGGAGCTACATTAGGCTAAGCTTATTGCTTTCTGTACAGATAGACCATACATCATATACTTATTTTTTGAATAGACTAGTATTTGAACTACAATACAAGTTATATATTTCAATTCAGTGGCATTCTTTTTCTATTTGACATCTTGAATTTATAATTAGGCCCATTTTTTATAGAAAAACTATTTTATTTTGAAGACAGTCTAATGCCTTATGAACAGAGTATTTGGTGGCCAGTTTGAGCTTCCAGATACTGTAATGGAAAGTTATTTCTATTATTTTCTTACAAGTTTTTTTAGTTGGGTATATTGGTTTTACAATGCCAGGAGAACCAGCTCAACTTCTTTCAAAATAACAGAAATTTTGTAATGGATAGATGTGTATATTTAGTGATATATGAACATACTGAAACACACACATAGAAAATTGAAGCTTTTAATTTGGTTAGAAAATGATTAAAACATTGGTTGGAAATAAAAACGAATTTTAAAAATATGGTTACATAATATTTTGTTGACTTTTCTATTAGTAGTTTAATTTACTCAACATCTTTTAACTTGCTCTATTTATTCATCTCTAAAACCACAGCATTTATTTCCTTTAGGGACGACTTTTTTCTTATTCAGACACTCATCGTCACAGATTGGGACCAAACTATCTTCAAATCCCAGTGAATTGCCCATACCGAGCTCGAACATTCAACTATCAACGAGATGGTCCCCAAACAGTCAACAATAACCAAGGTTTCTCACATGTTATCTACATGAAATTGTACTTTTATATATATTATAATATTTTCTAGTAAAAAAAGAAACTTTTTAGCTTCATCTCATCTTTTAAGTCAATTTAGATAAAAATTTGGGACACAAATTTATATTCATCATTACATTTTCTGTGGTCAGTCATATCTCATTACTTCCTCATTTCATCTTTGTACAAGTTACTGAAATATACAAATTCACATTGTTGCTAAATTTATAACACTTATCAGAAAACTACAGAACTTTATAAGCTCAAAAAACATCTTCATTGTTTGGCTTAATTACTTGTACAACTTTGGTATACTAAATTCTCTTTGGTGCTTCTCGAGTTAAATTAACTACACAATAGCCTGTTTACAAAAAATCTTACCATCAGAGGATACCACAGTGCACAATACCTTAAGTAATCAAGCTTCTTTTACTTAACATTTTATACAGTGTGTTTTGATAAAAATAAACTAAAAACTAAGACAGTTGACATAAAGGCTCTTACCATTATGTGATACAGCAGTTGAATAAATAAAAAAAGTCTTAATTTTATCTCTCACAAACTATTTCTAATCCTGATCTAGCCTATAAATGAAAAAAAGAAACAACCTTGTATAGCATCAAAGGTAGTAGTTTCATGGATGAGTTTTAAATTAAGGTATAAATGGATTCAGTCAAACTGGATTAATGTTACAAGTGGAGTATCTCAGGGCTCAGTCTTAGAATCTTTGCTCTTTTTGATTCACATCAATGAAGGAATGGTCAATAATTACTTAAATTTGCAGATGATATTAAGGTCTTGGGTGTTGCTGGCTACGAGGAAGATGCTGCTGTTTTACAAAAGGATTTATATCATTTTGTGAGTTGGGCAAATAAATGGCAGATGGGTTTTAGTTATAATAAATGCAAAATAATGCATGTGGGTTATCATAATTTTAAATTATATGTATAATTTTGATGGGAATAACCTTAATAGTGTCATGAAAGAAAGGGATCTTAATGTAGTGGTTGATTAGTCTCTTAAACCATCCAAGCAGTGTGCTGTTGCTAGTGGCAGGGCAAATAGATTTGAGATTGTATTTAAAGAAGTATTGAATACAAGTCTAAAGAGGGTATAATTTGATTATATAGGTCATTGGTTAAGCCACATTTGGATGGAGGGGTTGTCATACGAGGAAAGGTTAAGATCTCTGAGTTAGAGGGGAGTTGATTGTGTTTATGCATCATATTTTTTCATATTTAATGACGAGAATGGTAGGAATATGGGATGGAAACAAGTATAAATTTTAGTAGAGTAGGAGTCATCTTCAGCTAAAATTATTTTATTTTTCTAACAGAGTGGTTGGCCTCTGGAATGTTGTAGAGGCAGTAAATTTAAGTGAGTTTAAGACAGAGTTTGATAACTATACGAATGATAAGGGCTGGCTTTGACGTTTTTTTTTAGTTTAGCTTAGAGGATGAGACAGCCTAGATGAGTCAATAGGTGCCTTGTTGTCCCTAAACATCTTTATTTCAAAATACTTAATTTTACTCCCATGCATAATAAAGTGTTAACAGAATGCCAAAACAATTGGTTTAAACCATAAAATGCCCTCCATTCTTCCAGTTTTTCTGCAGGAATTATTTATGGATGAGGCTTTGTCATATCCTTATACCATACACCAAATGATTTTACTGATCTCTACATGTTTGAAATTATTCAACATTTTATTACTTAGTATTACCATGAACTGTAGAAAATGGGTAGTTAAAACAATAATTGGTTTCAACTACTATTTTCCAGAAAGGATTACACATTAGTTTAGAAACTGAACATCTTTTGGAGGATTTTACAGTGGAACTTTTTTTTAATACATTCAATTTTTTTTTCAATCTTTATAGAAGGGGCACCAAATTACTATCCCAACAGCTTCAGTGGACCCCAAGATTACAAGATCTTCAAGGAATGCAAATGTTGGGCTTCTGGAGATGTGGATCGCTTTAACAGTGCTGATGATGATAATTATTCTCAAGTTGGGATTTTCTGGAACAAAGTCAGTATTTACTTAGGAATTAATTATGTACATTATACATTCTGTGTTATGAGAAATTATATAAAGCATGTTTTGTTCTTTTTTTATGTTTCTGACTTCAGTTTTCAGTTACTCCTGTTTTGAATATGACTTTGCAAAGTGTCTGTGGATTCAAATTAGCTTTTGTAATAGGTCCTTAAACCAGATGAGCGGGATCGCTTGGTAAAGAACATTGTTAATCATTTAAAAGATGCACAGGAGTTCATTCAGGAGAGGGCTGTGAAGAATTTTAGCCAGGTTGATCCTGAGTGTGGACGGAGGATAAAAGAAGGCCTTGATGCTATTAAACAAGTAGGTACAACCAGTAAAAGAAAAAAATACACAATTAAGGAATATTTGGAAGAGCCAGAACAGTAAAGCAATAGTTACTTTAAACTATTTTGAAATGTGTTTCATAGCAAATGTTCTTTAACAAAAAAATCCTGGTATAAAGTTTTAAAGCTTCAAGATTTTTTAATAAATTCTTAAAATAACCTGTTCAAGCATAAAGTAGGTCCTTTCTAAATTTAACTTAATGAGCAGAAAGAAAACTTGAAATTTCAATGATCTGTTGTTTTCCTTAAATATGGAATAGGAACTATCACATTTGTTTATGTGTATCAAAACAATTGGTATTTACATATAAAGGATTTAAGTTTAAGAAAAACTATTAGACAGTCAAATCACGTTTTTCTTTTACAGGCAACTCGTGTGGGATTATTTGGCCGCTTATAAATTTGCACAGTCTTACTGACTTTGCCATCATTTACATAAAGAATATGATTTTTTCTACTGAACTTACAGTTTATGGATCAGAATTGTATTAAGCTTAATATATTAATAGTACAGCTAAAAAATAAGCAGCACAAAGGTTTGCCTATAGCTAATGTTAAAAGATAAGGGATCTTTAATAGTTATTTACAAAATACAAAACTTGGAATTACAGTTTTTGTGAATTTATTATCCACTTAAATAATAAAATGAGGTATATAAAGATTTATGTACACCTGGAAATACTAAAAATTTATTTCAAGTACAAATATTGACATTTTATAAGTGTATTTCTGATTTCTACACTAAATAATCCCTAACTACTTTGTATATTAAAAATGGTATAAATAAAATATACATCATACATTCTTTGTTTGTAAATCTTTATTTGGATCTCTTAAAATAGAACACTGTTTAATGAATAAACAAAATTAATTGTACAGAAAAAAACTACTTTGCACTGAGTTTAACCAATCGTTTGATACGTCTCAATAGTGCTTCAACGAAACTGACGTGTGTTCTTCCCCTTATGAAATTCTGAAAGAGAAAGCAGCTAGTGAGTTAACCAGTAAAAGTGCAGAAGTAAAACTAATTTCTCACTGCAAATACACACCAGTCTCTCTCTCATAGTAAAAATCATATTAAATACCTACTATATCCTGTGGATGTTTTTAACAGTTGCTCAATTCACTTGTTTCTGATCCTTTGTTGTAAATACCTAACATTCTTTCACAGTAAAAATCATCTTAAGTAATAACCATCAGATGTACCTGCTTTATCCTACGGCTGTTTTTAACAATTTCTCAGTCCACAAAGTTCTAATCACTTGTTTTTACATACCTGTTCTACACTGTGAAGTTTCTTAAATAATGTATCATCCAGCACATTTTGAACATCTTTTTTGAGAATTTCTAGGTCAGAGGAGCTAATCCTCAGTTCCGCAGGTGTACTATTTAATCCAGGGGACTCACTACCATGTGTTTGAGAGTCTATATTGGTTTGTTCTGTAAAGATAACAACTAAAAATAGTAAAAAAAAAAATACTTAAAATATTACTTATTATATTAGTAAAATTCAAAATAACTCTTAAGTGTTCATGTAACTTGTATCTAGTTAGAGATATGTTAACAAAGAACAACAACCTTGCAAGCGACGTAAGGGTGTCCTTCCAATGAAACCAGGCTTTTCTTGTTCATCTCCTACACAGTGGAGTAGAAAATATTCTAGATGGCGCCACAAAAGGAACAGTGCACTCTCTATGATAACTGATATTAGGGTTAATTCTAAACAATTCACAATACGAATCAAAAAAGTATGTTGCAAGACAGCTGAAAACCTAATTTCAGCAATAGCCTATAAATTCTTATTTACACTTAATTCAATTTAAAATGCATTGCATAACCAACTAAAACTACTCATGATTGGTAATAATGGTGTTTGGATGAATATATAATTGTTGAGTTACAAATTAGTGACAACTCTGTATATCATTAAGCATGATAAAATATCGCTATACCTTTCCCTTCACTATTACTATATGTCAGCTGAAACTATGATGCAGTAGTAACTAAACTAATTTAGATAATGATCAGACAATCCCATAGTTCACAAAAGGTTTGGTAATAAAATGAACTAAAACTGTTCAATCCTTTGTTTCAGTAACAACTCAATAAAATAAACATAACCTAAGGTTAAAATATTTATAAGAATTGAATGTCCATACTTTTCTACAAAGACTAAGTTGTTGTTTTTTTTACAATGATGCAGGTATGAATATTAAAACTTTTACTTCTATGAAATTATTATGATTACACATTTATAGTGATTATTTGTTGAAGAACAAGTTGTACAGTATACATGCCTGTATTTCTTCCATGGCTTTTTGTGATAGTTTTACAATACTACATGTTTGTGTCAGTAGTAACTGTATAGGAATGCTGCTTTGTAAAAATGAACTGGTTTTTAAATGAGGGATAATAGTCTGCATAAAGACAAAAAAGAAATTATCCAATCACACCTTCTGTATTAATTTATTACTCCAAAGTAAAATAACTTATGAGTTAAAATAAATGGAGTTTTGTCACTACAACAAGCATATATTCTATATTTAATTCAACAAGTCTTCAAAAAATAATAGCAGAAGCTGCATTTAATACCTACAACAGTCATTTGATGTGTATAAGAATATGCTTCTTTCCACAACTAACCCTGCATAATAAAACTTTGTTGACTTCATATTAAAAGTTTAAAACCTATTTAACAATGCTAGTGTTTAAAACAGTCTGATTTAATTATTTCTAGACATGAGGTGTATATGTATGGTTAAAATCAATGTATGCAATACTAAGTGTATTGTATCACCCTGAACACAATTTGTTTTGGCTAGTTAGTTTTCATGTTTTGTCTGTTCTGACTATACATTCTTCCCTGTAATTTATTTAAAATGATACTGTACATTGTGTTTTATGGTATAAAAACACTAGATTCTATTATGGTAGATGTAAAAAGAGAAAATCTATAGGGAACAAGGTATTATATACAAAAACAAACCTAATGGTGTAACTAAACCCTTGATAACACACATACCACCCTGTAAAGGTAAATCTACTACGTTTCAATAGTTTTTTCATACTTGCAAATACTTAACAGCCAAATACATTTTGGTGCTGATTTAATACTAATAAAGAAAATTTCTAAAAAGTCCAAAAATTTTATTTAAAATTCTGCAAAGAAAGTATAGAATCGACAGAATAATGTTTGTATGAATTTTCATTATAAAATAACTTCTGAAATAACATAATGATCAATGTAATACAATGAGAAGTATATAAACATACAGAGGATTGACTGTATTATACAAACATTTTGAATATGCAAATCCACAAGTCAAGTAGTGGAATGGTATATATCGGAACTACATTTTGATATCGCTTTTGTCAGTAGTGCAATGCTACCAAGTATAGATTGCTCTTGGGAAGATTATATAACAGTCCCCCCCCACTGCAAAATTTTCATAGACTCAGACCATACAGTTCTGATGAGATCAGGCATTTAGAATTTCCAACATGGGGATATCCCTTGTACTAATGTCACTGGAAAACAAAGATATATGGATCAGCTTGGGGACCTAAAACCATCCACAATTAGACCTGCAATAAGTCATACCCCCAGTTGTGATTTGCAAAGTATGGAATTTAGCAAGAGGTGAGAATCAATGAACACAAATGTCAGTAGCCGAAAGGGTAAGGGTACACCATGATAAAGCTTTCAGTCATACTTCCCATTCAACCACTGCATATCTCAAGCAGCTAAAGAATGATACCAGAAGCAATGCCTATGGATTTCTCTGATTGGACTGTTAAAAATGAGCTGGGTGTGCTTTGGACATAAAAGACCAAAAATATATGCATGGTAGTTAGATACAGCATGACTGGACATGGCTGATGAGGCTCCAAAATTATTGTAATATAATGCACTCAACCTCTGTGTATTACTTTGAGGGGATTCATGTACTTATGTAATCAGATTGATTCATAATTTTTTAAAATAGTTCAAAGATGAACATGCAAAGAGTGTAAAACAAAAATGTATAAATACTACATAATTCATTATAAAGGATACAACAATCTAAGTCAACTTCCTGTTTTCTACTTGAACTCAGTTTTAGAAGGTGCTGTCTAACTAGATCCCGCTGCTGCTGTCTTGAGGAACTTTCTAGTTTTACTCCTTCAGGAAGAAGCTGTTGAATAGATAAGGAGATCACATGATTCCTTTTGATTCAGTCCTAACCACAAGATTATGAAAATTCCATAACTAGAAATTCAAACCTAAAATCATAGAAGCTTTGCAGACTAAAGAAAAGAAAATATATAAGTTTTATAATTTTGATGTTTCACTGCAGGTGTTTTTAACATAATTCTCATATTTAAAGCCCATTTCAGATTTAAATTTCAAACCAGAGGTATTACAAATTTCATAATTAAAACTGATATACTAATATTTATGTAGTACTATTAAATACTTTATGTTTAGGAAAAACATTGTAAAAGTTATAATTCACTGTTACTATTACAGTTTATTATATATTTTTACTTATTACAAAAATTTTATTTCAAGGATTTTCCCAGAAACCCTTAATTTAACTAATAGGAGAAGGAATGCTAGCTCTAACATAATTTTTCCCAGACTGTAAAATAAAACTATTGAAATGTATCCAATTTTGCATATATTTTCCTTTACATGGCAATGATTAAAGCCACATAATGGTAGAGTACTGACCTTTTCCATATATATTTTTTCTACTTGCAAAGAGCTCTATGAATATACTAATAAAACCTCTATACCTCTGCAAGTTCTTCTGAACTCAAAGCTTCAATTCCTTCTTGTTGAGCTAAAAGACTCTTGTGACTGCTGGCAGCCTTATGAAGTTGTGAACAACTCTGCTGAAGTAGGTTGATCAACCATCCCAGTCCTGGTGGACGACCAGCTGCCAAGTGAACTCCTCCAGAGCCTTTAAGTTATTAACATTTCTTTAAAACAAAATACTCAATAAACAAAGAGTAAATTTTCACTACCAGAGAACATACTGAAGGTTTACGCCCATCTTTTGGAACTGCCTTGAAACAAAATTACATCCTTCTACGTCTGCATACAAACACATTTTCATCTGTGTCCATAAAATAATCATTCTTCTCACATACATCTTTGTTCTTTCCTTTCCGTGTCTACAACTATTACACCTACCTGTGTCTATAAGTATACAGTCTCACTTGTATCTAAACATCATTGCAACCTGTTTCCACAACCCATTGTCTTTAGGCAAATATTTTGCTTTTATACTGTAAACACACATACACACTCTCCAATTATTCCTAAACTTTAAAATTACAAATTCATCAAAGTTATAAAAAAAATTCACTGTTTATAAATACAATCCTCAAAAAATAAACTTTAGGTTCTATAAAATGAATGTCATCAAACACTTTAGTATTGTATAAAAAATACAGTAACATTACATTTAAAATACCTTGCTTAAAAGGATGAGAACAGAAATGAAACTTTTGGCTGATCCCAGGGCGGCATAGGTCCATTTGAAGCCAGAGGGGTCTAACTAAGTGCTCTCTAGTACATTATAAGCCATTTTTATGTGGGGGGAGGGAAATAAACCTTCACATTATTTTATACTGCTAGGATAATCAGTAAACATGGTCAATAAGCACTTTAACTCATGCTTCAATGATCAAAATTACAGACCAGTTAATACACAAATTGGCCATTTCATGAAATACTGAGATAATACTTGTACAAATCAACTGACATTAGACCAATTAATCACTTATAAATTTCAGTCTTTTAGAATGCTTGAGCCCCTGCTAATCCTATCCTATCGACACATGCTGGAATTTGTATATATTTAATTATTTCTAGTAGATATTGGTTAGTAAAGGGACATAGTAATGTCTTTTTTTATTTTATGAAGTGTGCTGATCTCTGACTTGCATTTAACTACAAAGATGTCTTATTATGTCATAATATTTAACTGAAATAAAACACTTTTTGGATTTTCTAATAGCAAACATTTTGTCTAAACAATATATGTAAAAAAATAATTGCTAAAAATTTAGTACAATACTTTATGAGATCAACAAATTATTTATTGTAATGTACTAGCTTCTTTTGATCAATGCAAAATAACTTTATAAGACTAAAAATAATTTCAGAATTTGTAGCATTTAATACATTTGTAATAAAAAGTGTTTAGTTATTGAAGACAATTTTGAGAATTTTGTTGTATACCTGCACCCCCTCAACCTTCACCAAATCATGCCTATTTTTGCCCAATTTAGGCTCCATCTATTAAATGATTTAAAACACAAAAATAATACCAGATTAGAGAAAAATGTCTATTTTATGTAATTCTAAACAAAAAGACAAAGAGCTCACACCATTAATTTAAATGGCTAAAGATTTAAAGCCAATATCTATGCTGATCTTTTTTTATTATCCATCATTGCACTTTAAAAAATAGATGCATTTCTAAGATGTTTGGATATTTTGAACTTAAAAGTTATTTTGCATCAATCAGCCACTTAAAAGGAACCTCACATATCGATTTTGATTTAACCTAAGCAAAAAATGCAATCTTGGAATATGTCTTCTAGTATTAGTGTTTTGTCTCCAGTCCCAGCACCTTCAATATTGTTTTCAATGCATTTGAACAGAGTAGGTGGACAGCCAATTTGACAATAGAAATCCACTAAATTATAGCCAATTCTCACCCTGTATTTATTAACTACAGTGAATCACTAAATAATAATGTTTCTTACCAAAATTTCCACCAGTACCTGGTGTATAGTAAGTTTCTCTAGTTGTGGCATCACTCAAGGTTGGGGCAAGTATTATTCGACAGGATTTGGCATCACGGCCTTTAGAAATAAAAAGCAAAAAAAAACTACACTTCAGAATATCACAAACAAATATTACCTAAAACAAGTCATAGATTTAACACCTTACTAACTGAAAATTAATGAACAAAATTATTTTCAGAGCTATACCATTTTAGGTTAGCATACATTGATATTTATTATTTTACTGAGTCTATAAAAATTGTCATTAAAAAATTCCACTAACTGAAGTACTAATGGAAACATTCATACAAGTAATGACCTCATACTTAGACAAGTAAATTAGCTCAGTAAACCTAAAAGGAACTTAGGTTATACATGGGGACATGTTATAAACTAGTCACTCTTAAGTAAGTCAGAAAGTAAAAATCTGAAGTCTGAGAAAATGATTCAAAGAATATATATAACTTGTTACAGGAGAGTTGATGTTTACGTAAGTATGGTAAAGGTATAACAAATATACACTGTAACAGAACATAATAAATTATCACCTGATCGTGACACAAGGGTGCAACATGAAGAGATGATGTTGGCAGCAACTTGCATAGACAAGACCCTCACACGAGCTTCTGTGTCTTCGTTGATTTTTTGGCTTTTTTGATATACACTAAATGAAACATTTTGTCGTGCAGGTGTTGTGTTGATTAGATTTGGTAGCATAGCCAAGAGTTGGTAACGAAGTAAACTCAACTGACCCCGACGTTCCAGAAGGGAGGTATCAGCCAAAAGAGAGTCATCCCACCTCTCTAAAAACAATAAAGAGTAATGTAATCACTATACAAGTGACAAGTTTACAAAAAATCCTAGGGACCATTCCTTTTTGTTACAACAGATAAAATAAGAAAACAAACATATGAAAATAAGATAAATTAACAAAACTAAGTAATCATTCAAAACTTAGATTACTAATTCAAGCCTGAAACATAATACCAAAACTTAAGTAACATTTTTTAAATACAGAGGAATGTTTATGATCTGTAATAAAGACACAAAGATGTACATCTATGCCTTATAGCCCCTTTTTTCCACACCAATATCATTCTATGTGATATAGAGCAATTTCTGATACTACAGGCTTTTTATTCAGTACCCCAAGGTCAATGTTGTCCTCCCTCTCTTAAAAGCTTTCTAAAGTCCAACAATTTTGGGGACACTGTGGAAGTATATCTAGTATGTACATATGAGTATGTGTATATATATAATAAAAAAACACACACATATATAAAGAATAACCCTACAGCTATTAAATGAAAATACAAAAGCAATTCAGAACTGTGGAAACTGACAGAAGAGTAAAGCGATTTTGTACTTTTACACATCAAAAAACAAACAATATTTTGAGCCAATAAAGTACGTAGTTTAGGTAATGACTAAAAGGACTGTGTTAGAAACAAAGCATGAAAATAAAACAAATAACACTCTCACTGTAGGCTCGGTCGAATTGGCCAAGTTTGTGACCCCAAACAAAAGAGTCATTTGTAGAAAAAAAAATTAGAATTTTTTATAATGTATTTTCACTAAACAATTTCTTTATGAATATATATAATCAAAGTGTTGGCTGCTTTGAATGCAAAGTGATTTTCATGTTAAATCTAAAAATACTTTTCTTCATCTGAAAAATTTCAAGTTTCATTTGTGTTATCTCTAAAACCTCCTAATAAATCTACATTACCCTCTTTTTCTCTCTAGAATGACTTCAAATTGTAACCTGAAACTACATTTGTTTATCCTAAATAGCTTTACACTAGTAACAGTATACATCTGTTTATACTTAATTATATTATTTTTTGTACTTTGAACCATCTCTAACTACTAGTCCAGCTACACAAGTTGTAAATCACTTAGCACATGTGCAGCTCACGTTACCATATCAAATTACATATGCATGAGCTGTTGCAAGCATACTTCACAAAGAATTATTAATATTATTATTTTATTTTTCATTATCTTAACTAATCTAACCTAATAAGTTTCTAATTTTTACATCTTAATTACTTTTATAATAATAAATTAAGTATACACATGAAAAACAAGAAATATAGTACTTACCTGATTCTCATTTTTTTACTGTTGATTATTGATGAAACTTAAGCCTACTTTTGTATACTAATGGTACTATTAAACTAAAGAACAAAATTAATAACATGCACAAAACAAATAATACCTTATAACCATCATATTTTTTCTGGCATTCTAAATATACGATAAGAGCCATTAAAAATTCAGCTAAACTTATTGATGCGATTGCTGTGAGAAAAGTATCGAACTGAAGGTGTAATAGACAATTATCTGTACAGAAAACAAAGTAATAAAATATATTATTTAATAGGTTTAAAAAATTGGCTTCTATTGGTTAAAAATAATATAGTATAAAATGTCAGTGAGAGTTATTGCCAATTTGTGAAAGAGAGGATGTGATAGGTGAGCATGGCAAGTGGGTCTGATTTTCTAGTTTACGACTCTGTAAACAAATAAGATTGAAGGCTATAAAAATTTGACTTTGCTTGAGTAATATCTGTATTATAATGAGTAAGTTATGTTAAATTCTGTATTTTTTGGAGGAGTGGTAAAGAAGTTAGAGATGGAAAACCTATACAGCAAATGCCACAATTCTCACATTGAGGAAGATTTAGGATATTTTAAAATATTCTATTATAAAATTAAGAACTTAAACTTACATAATATTAAAACTTGATTTAGTAACTAATTTTTTGTGCCAAATTTATTCGTATGCAATTATCAGTTATGAAAAAAGGAGTTTAATTAAATTTTGAATGTAACTCTTTTAAAAGGTCATGGCATGTGCACTTTGACCTGCCCAAAGTAAGAGGGTTAAAATGCCCAAATTATTTCAAAGTTTTCAGTACAAAATCACTGGGATAAAACTTGTAAAAGAAAAAGGTTTTAGACTGAGTTTTATGAATTAATATATGATAATAGATGAAGATTGTTTCTAGCATAAGGGGGTAGAGGGTGATCAGTTAATCATCTATCATCCACTTTTAATAGAAGTTACCATTTTTAAGAATTTTTCCAAAGCTTCAGCAAGGCCTTGGTTTAAGAAAATTCTAAATATAATACAATATTAAATCCACATGGTATGTAACTGTATCTATATTTAGTGAATGACCCATGTTGCATGTTCAATGGTTTGTTTGTTTTGAGTATTTGTATCAAGCTACTCAACGGCTTTCTGCACTAATGTTTTTAATTTTGAACTAGTAGACTAGAAGGAAGGCAAAGAGTCAACAACACCCACCACCAACTCTTGGGCAACTCTTCTCTGACTGAATAATGGGATCTGACTATCACTCTTACAATGCACTCACAACCCTAAAGCATAAAACATGACTTTTTATTTCCTTGTAGCAAAAAAATGTTAACATGGACCTGTAGATTCTTAGTCTGGCATGCTAACTACTGGTCTACACTTGACTTCTGTTCAATGGCCTCTGAACACTTTCAGTAAGGTTTCTATAAATACGTGTAACCATATATACTCAAGATTAATAGAATGTTGTTTTATGTATGTGCAATATCTTTCAGCATAGATACATGTAAAAGTTACCCTACCTGAGTAAAATGTACTACATATTGGTTTAATGAATTATTTTGTATAAAATATGGGCAAAATTCAGCTTTACCTTACGAACTTTCTGTGAATATGTATATAAACAGAGTGGCAGATGTATGGTATTCATCTTAACTTAATGGAATGCTTTTTTACTGCAGCTAAATATTCACTCAAGCCTACTGGAATACCTTGTCTTTACATATAACATTTAACTTAGCTTTTGGTGACATTATGTAGCATGTAAAATTTAATTAAGCCTCATAAAGCTATAAATTAATAAGTATTTTTTTGATAAACCATTTCATGGGTTATACCTTCAAAAGAAACTATATTAATAAAATGGATATGAAACACTATTATGTCTAATAAGAATCACAACAAATAAAAAAACACAGCAAAATTAATTCTGTGTCAATAGGAACTATATGACAATAAAAAAAAGTTTTTATTTTTGAGCTAATAATTTTAATCAATGTGTTATTTAAAATTACCATCCAGTGGTGCTCTTGAGAGGAGTGCAGTGACAAGAGATAAGTGCTCCAACATTTCTATGGAAAGTGTTGAACGACGCTGGCGAAGAATAGTTGAAAATAACTCCATATGAGCAGCTACAAAATTTAACATCTGAGAGAAAACAAAGGAAAAACACTTAATCACATGAAGCACTTGTGAACTGTTCTTAACAATGTTATGTAACTTTAATTCAAAAATAAATACTAGATGGCTCTGAGGAACAAAAATCTTCAGACATCTAAAATGTATTCAGTGCACCCAAACAGCAAAAAAACATTTTCTGGTATGATAAATACAACTGATATTTAGCTTGATATGAACAAAATTATTTTTTAAAGGTTTTTTTATAGGATCTATGCTATGATCTGTTTAAACAACAAAAAACAAACTTATATCAATAATTCTTTATCACACTCAAAGATTTCTTGATACTTAGAGGCATATTTTTAGATCAATGATTGTATGGTCTCTTTCATGAAAGAAATTACATAAAAAAAATTTGTTGTAAGCAAAAAAGGTCTTCAATAACTCAGATATTCCCTATTATTCACACACAAAAAAACATTTCCAGAGCACCTGGTGGATGGCTTCTTTATGGAACAATCCCAGAGATGTAAGGACAACCAGTATCACCTTCAAAGCAGGCATCAAAACTTGTTGGTAACATTTGGCAGTGTTTGGCATCATCCAGTCTTCTCTTTCTTCTAAACTTCCAATTTGCATACTATCAAAGTAATGAAAATATATATATATGTACAGTGTTTACTGAGGTTTTTAAAAAAATGCTACTTATAGTATACCATTCAACCAAATATCAAAGCAATAGATTCATGGTAGTTTTCAGACATCAAAATCAATTATATTTACCCCAGTGCAATTTTCAGTTGCAAGCAGGCCTCTATATTTTGTTATTTATTGTGAAAGTACTTGAGACTATTCAGCTTTATACAAATGTATAAACAAACTGAAAAAAAAAGAAAATACAAAATTTGTGTGTACACACACACGAAAACGACACCAAGCAAGCATACATACCTAAAGCTAAATAAAACTTCCACAAGCTTCATTGGGTGATAATGTTCATCACTGACTTAGCTGAGCTGAAAGACACCTGATATTCCCTGAAAGTGCAGTTCTCAGCTGGTCCTGTTATTGGCTTTACTATCTAACGTGAGCTAATATTAGTTTTTTTATACTACAACTTACATTATTCTTATTCAAAAAATTCAGTATTTAATGCACAAACACACTTCTAAAAACTATTTCATTCAGACTGGTTTGGTTTGAATTTTGTGCAAAGCTACACGAGGGCTATCTGCGCTAGCCACCCCTAATTTAGCAATGTAAAACTAGAGGGAAGGCAGCTATTCATCACCACCAACTCTTGGGCTACTCTTTTACGAACGAATAGTGGGATTGGCCGTCACATTATAACACCCCAACGGCTGAAAGGGCGAGCATGTTTGGTGTGATGGGGATTCAAACCCGCAACCCTCAGATTGCAAGGCGAGCACCCTAACCACCTGGCCATGCCAGGCCGCATTCAGACTGATAATACTTACACAGCTATTCTACTTCACCCTCAATTTACTCTTCAATCTACTTAATTTATGGCCTCAAATTTTACTTTTTTAACAAACTTAATAGTAAAACTTATGGAATAATTTAAAGCTCTAATTTTTCATATCTAGATTTCCTAAGCAGTATTACAGATTATTCCTCAAAAACAAAAATCTTTCAAAGAACTGAAGTAATTAACATTATACTATTATGAAACCACAGACCTATATATGAATTGAATGTATGAACACACCTGTTATCTTCCTGTGGCCATAAATCCAGTGAACCACACTCTGCCAATCGTCCAAAAATTCCACTTTGTAAAAGAGCAATGGCCCCAGCAGAAGACCCACCAATTCTTGCTAACAATGACTGTAAGGATACTGAACTTTAACATTATACAATAATATATCGGAGAAAAATATTCTATACAAAATCTCCTTGAAATTTATTATAAGTCAAAACAATAAAAACCAGCATTTAAGATCCAAAAACAAGGACCTGGTTTATAAAATAAAATATTTATTTCACATTGTAAGCACACACTTCTGACAATTAGAAAATAAAAACTGTAGAGAATTTATCTTATTTAGAAATAGGACATTGCATGTCACAGATTCATGACACAACTGATATTAATTTCCAAATGAACTTTCTACCCGAACATAAGATCAGACTGAAAAAAATCTGTAACAAAGTAACATAAAAGCACCACTGTCTACAGGTAGGGATGAAGAAGGATAGAAAATGGGATATTTTTAATGGAACCTAGAGAATTCTAACAAAATATTTTGATATTCAAATAGAATTAATATTAACATTACCAATTCTATAGTGTGTACTTCCTGTGCTGCCTGGACATTTCTAATGTGCTTCTTTGTTGTGGCAAGGCTGTTCAATGCACAGGTGCCTTTCTCTGCTTACCTTAAAGTACAATTGCTACAAAATTGCAGAGTTTCAATGCTAACATTTTAATTACCTGAAAATGTATTTCAGATAGATACCTATATCTCTGTAGCACTAAGAGCTATCGCCTTATGTGGAATTCTCTGCACATGCTATAATCCTTGAACAAACTACTACCCCTATATGTGTCTACAAGTACTACACCAGCCTATGATATAATTGTCATAATGCTGTAGCCCTCCACCAATAGAAGCGCAACACCACTTCCATACATGGCAATCCTCTTGAGCACAATCACAGGATCGTTCTTGATGAGGCAAAGGATATGTATTGGAGGAAGGGTGGGAAGGTGGTGTAGAGATGTATCTATCTGAAGTACATTTTCAGGTAAGGAAAATATTAAATTCAGAAATACTAACTACCTTTCTGCATTATTAAGAGCTAGAATCCCACACTGAAAATAGGGCCAGTGTTGATCAATTACAAAGATGAACTCCTTCCTGAAAAAGTGACAGAGCAGCATTTGGTGAGATAATGCATCCTTCTCAAGTAATACTCTTTGCCCAATTTGTTATCTAATCACTGACATTACAAACAGATTTACAGTGAAGGATAATGAGTAAATTTGGTGCCAGTGTTAACAAGTTCCAAAGGTAAGCAAAATATTAGTGTAGTGTAGCTAGAGCTCTAAGATGTTCCATCTTAGTGATATATTTACATGAGATATTACAATGACACGTGGAGGGAGAGGGAACTCTCATGTGCATACCAAGGTAAATCCTAGTCCCATCCAGCTGGAATTGCTTGGGAGATAATGTAATGGGGTGTCCTGTACTACACTTCCAGGGAACACCCCAGCACTCCATCTCAAACAAGAGGTGGGCTCAACCAGAGGGAAGGTACCATTCACAGAAGAAACTCTCCATACTGACCTCCTCAGTGACTTGGGAATGGGGAAGAAAGGGTTCTCCAATGCTCCACTAGAAGAAGAGGGGAGAAAACACCAGAGAATATGTGTAAACCCCTGTCATCAGGTCCAATCATCTGGAATTGGGTCCCCACTAAGAGAAAATGCAATGGGTCACTATGACTAGAGACAGCAGGCAAGAACTTGGTGTTAAGGCAGGGCTATACATGGTGCTGCCAATTTTTTTTTGTTTTTGTAAAAAGTGCAGAAACAGCCATGTTAGTTGTACAGATATATATTACCAAAGCAGTCTTGCAGAAAATCCCATCTCAACAGTGGTCATTGAGTAGGAGCAGATGGATTTAACACTTTCCATTCTCCTTCACTACTGCAGATTTTAGGTAAGCATTCCCTGTGAGGCAATGGTGCCCACTTGGTTCTAAACATAAGGAACTTAGGGTGTAGTTCCTCATGTAACACTTGATCTGGTGAGCCTTGCCTCCTCCTGCTCATTTTTTTTTGCTTTGTTTTAATTGAGGAACTTGTAATTTTTTGGAATATGTATAAAAATCATGGTAAACATATGAAGGTGCATTGAAACATATGAATGACATGGAGATGACTGAAAAATACAAGAGCCCAAACTTACTACACTAGAATATCTGGGAAGGCTGGAAATGGCAACTGGAGGGAGATGAACAAACCAGAGGCATTTGAAACTGCTCAATGATGCAAATAATGTGAGATGAATATGTTAATTGTAGTCCACATATCAGTTTTTAAGATCTACTAAAAAGGCCAGTGATGAAAAGAGGCAAAAGAGACTGTTATAAGCTAAATCTGGTGGAAGAAGACACAAAAGAGTGTACAGACAGACTCAATAACTGGAAAACTGCAACAGAAGAAGATGGCTAGCCCAATAAGCTGCAGTCATATCTAAAAAGTTGATATGCAGAGAACATTCTCAGATAGTAGTAGTGTTGAGAACTGCCCCAACCAGAAAGATAAGTCAGGCTGAGGGAGAAGAGTGGTATACCCTTAGTTGTGTTGAAGTGATTAAGCCATCATGAGAGAGGGATGAAGAGACAGAATGGCAGATAAGAGATTGCATGATGTATTCCAATGATCTACTGAAAGCCCAATGAAGGAGATGCATGTGTGTGTGTATGACTGAGATGAAACAGGACTCCTAGGGAAGCAAGAGTACCCAAATGTGAGAGAGAAGTGTCTTGGATACCAAAATCTCCACGGTGTGAATAAGCAAGGAAGATGGTTGAGCCAACCCTGTGCAGGAGGTGAGGGAAAACCCCCATGCGGACAGGAAACTGAGTGGAAGTCCAAACAGACTTGGAAAGCTAGACCAGCAAGCCCAGGAAAGAGTTCTCTCCAAGAAGAGTGGCAGTAGTGACTGTAAACTACTGTTGATATGGGGCAAGAGAAGCCAGGCAACCATAATAACAGAAGTGAAGGAAGGCATTTGAAACAACTATCTTGGTTAAACACAATCCAGGAGAGAGGATCCAATGCAGACTGAGAAAGTTGTCCAACCAGAATCAAGGAACAAAAAAAAGGATTTAGAGATGACAAGTCAATGACAAAGCACCAAATCCTTGGCTGCGAGTGGAAGACAGGAATAAAAGCCCTGAGTGGGGTGAGAGACAGACTCTATAGCACCTGCAGCCAATGAAGAGGACACCATTTTCTGAAGATGAAGAAGCAACGGATCAGTAAAAAGAGGATAGGAAAAAGCATGACAAGAAGAAAGAGATGGAGTATGAAAGTTGAGAAAGAACATGCAGAATCCTGGGTTGCTGGAGAAGGAAGAAGACAGGAGGGTAAAGTTGGAGAGGTGGAAAACAGCAGGACCAGAGTCCAGGATAAGTTCCAAAGAAGAATAAAATCAAGAGATATGAAGCTAGCCATGCAGGAGGGAAGAAGATAAACAGAAGCAAGAGAATGAAAACAGGAAAGGGTCAGCCCAACAGGACTCCCAAGGATAAGTAGCAGAGGACAAGTGAGTTAGCAATGTAAGGAAATTATACAAAATTACAAGCAAACAGCCAACTGTGAAGATTACAAAAGCAAAGAAACCAGGGCAAAGTAGAGACAGGAGAAGAAGGAATGGAAACCACAGGTGTCTCCACCTAAACTATTTGGATCGTAAAGAAGAGTCTCAGGGAAGAGGTAAAGGGCAGACATCGAATAGAGGAGTAGGGTAAAAATAGACAAAAATGAACAAACTACTAAAAGCAAAACACAAAGAAGGAAAAAGAGGAGTACCCTAAGCAGAAAGAAAGGACACAAGAGATTGGAGACCAAGAAATATAAAAGAGCCAAGACCTGAGGCCAAAGCAAAGGAGTCACAAAAGACAAGTAGCAGGACAAAAAAAGATGTGGGTTTGTTTGTTTGAAGTTAAGCACAAAGCTACACAATGGGCTATCTGTGCTCTGCCCACCATGGGTATCGAAATCCGGTTTCTAGCATTGTAAGTCCGCAAACATAGCACTATGCCACTGGGGGGGGGCAAGAAAGATGTGAGACAACATGGAGTTGGGACATAAGAAGCACACAAAGCAAAAGCTACTAAAAACAATATGATGTACAGGTAAAAAGACAAAATACTGCATATCTCAATCATGAGCCTAGCAAACAGAAAAGGAGGAAGTACTTGTTCCTGACCAGAGTGAAAAGCTAGAAACAAAGGTCAGTGTTGGAAAAGCTAGCCAAAATTATCCACAAGTGAGGCAGGCTCCACAGAAGACAAACAAATAAAATGATTAGGTACCTGAATTGGAGAAAAAATAAGCAACAGGGAACCAACCACCTGATACATGAAACCAGGAACATCATTAGTGACCTGGTTAGCACACCATGGTTCATCACATCTCAATAAAGTAGGGGACGTTAAGTTATCCATAATGTCAAAAATACCTCACCACAAAGTGAATTCCAAGTGAGTTAAAGGGGTAACACTGAATGTAAGGTCCACAAACAGATTAAGTGCCTCCACTCACCATTAAGTCTGAGCCCCAGAACTATTTTTTAAAAATATTTTATATGATATACATTGTTGAAAGAAGTCTACAGTAGAAATGGATGGCCAGAGAAAACAATGTTGCAATCAGGTGGATGGACTAAAGTGGAACAAGGAGAAAAGCAATGCAGCACTAAGGAAAGAAAGATGGTCAAATAAGTCAACTATAAACACAAGAAACAAGAGAAAAAAACCTGTCTGAACACAGACAATGTTGAAGAAAGAATGAACCTATGACAGTGGTTAGGGAGATTACCTCACATGAAGTTGTATCACCCTCCTATTGGTGGAGGGCTATAGTATTATTGAGAGTATGTCATAAGCTGGTGCTATACATGTAGACACATGTAGGGGAGAAGTTTGCTCAATGCTTGTGGCATGCACCGAAAATTCCATGACAGTTGTGTGAGAGGTAATAGCTCTTAGTAGTGCAGAGAGGTAGGTATTATTTCAGAAGACACATTTTCCACGTTGCCACTGCCATTTTCAAATTCAGGCATCACACTACTTTGTTGAAACACAAACAACAGACTTTATCTGGGCAATCACTATCAATTTCTCTCACCTTGAGTGCATTTTCATCATCAACTTTCAGAAGTATTTTCATTTTGAAATGAAGGTGAAAACAACAACATACATGCTAATTCCAATATGACATTAATCTATCAGCAGAACCAAGCCTGATTAAAAAAAAACTCTTTGCTTTTGGTCAAGCAAAGTTTCAGACTCCAACGTTTACTTCCAAGACTTAAAAAAAAAAAAAAAAGTAAGTTCATTGGCACATGCAAGAAAATTTTGTTTTCAATCTCCACCCTAATATTAATTTTTTTTTTTCTCATTGGATTAGCATTGATCTTGGGAATGCCCAGTAGCATGTCTGAAAAATTATCATCCCTGTAAGATATGGCGATACCCTCAAATAACATTTGTAAAATGAATATTACTCTCACATGTAAAAGAAAACTGTCCTTACTTTCACTTTAGACTGCTTGAACACAAACTAAAACAATGTACCATCTATACAGATAAAACTGAATATGTAATGAGATGTCTATTACTGTAAATTATAAATATATTTAAACAAATACAAAATTCAAAATCTGTAGCTAAAAACAATAATAAACTTTATAGATTATTTAAAAATTTTAAATAATCCCAGAAACTTTCTCACCATTTTGGACTCATATATGTAGAGACTTTTAATGGAATCTGCCGTCTTTGTTAGAATTTTCTGTAGCTCTTCATCATCCTTCAAAATACTATCAACTAGATGTCGTAAATATCCTTTACTGACCATAAAATTTAACAAAATCTGCTGAGAGTCCAGAGAAATTATAGTATCTAATGAAGCCAGGGCTAACATCTGCAAGTGGACAAATTAAGATTTAATACACCTAAAATTTATACTAATATGGTATTATATATTTTTTCTTATATTTGATAAAAAAAAATATACTCAATTTCAACTAAATTACTTCATTCTAGATCTTTACAAACATTTTTTAAATTAAAAAAAAATGTATTAGGCTATGACGTTTTTATGATACCAGTATGGATAGTCAGATGATTAACACTCATTACATTTACCTTCCTCTGACTAACCTTCTATTTTCAGAATGTGCTGTTAACTGAGAATGCATCATTATTGGACATTATCTAGTATCAGAGAGTAACATGAAAATAAAAGAAGGATTATAATGAAGAAGAGTTGATAAAAGACCACTGAAGGAGTGGTAGAAGGACTGGGAAGAAAGATAGATGTACAAGAATTCCCAGAGAAGAGATATTTTATATGAATAGGTTAGTCAGAAGTAGTTTGTTGATAGAGTAAATTAACTGTTGCTCAACCAACGAAAGCAACTTAGAAATGTGGGACAAAGTAAGTACGGAATTGTTATGAGTATGAAGGAGAGATCTGATGGAATAGTAAGTGTAGAGCTACATCACTAGAATAAAAAAATCTATGGAACCATATGATAAAAGCAAAATAAAGGGAAGGACTCTAAATGAGAAAATACATCATTAACTGTTATTTTTTAATGTATGGTACAAAGTTGAAATGTTACAGAAGTTGTTATTCTTAACTTTGTTTAATGCAAACTGAAGTTTATTATGAGACATATCTATAAACGTAAATAAAATCATGACCCATATCTCCAGAACGAAATTTTATTAGCTCAATATTTTGCTATTACAGCTTGGTCAGGAGCTATCGAAATCCTACAAATTCACTATTTATTTGGATTAGTGAACTACTAGGATATCGATAGCTCCTGACCAAGCTGTAATAGAGAAATATTGAGCTAATAAAGTTACATTCTGGAGATATAGGTCATGATTTCATTTACAGAAGTTGTCATAATCATTTTCTTAAGATGTAAAAATGACTTAGTGAGAAAGGAGACATTACTAACCATACAAGCACAGGGTCGGTCCAAATTCACTAAGTGTATATTTTAAATAATTTGTCAAGTTTTTAGTTAAATGTGAAAAGTCAGTTGTACACACAAACAAAAAAAAAATCAGTTTTTAATAGTGTTTTTACTAAAGATTTGTCTGTAAATCAGTCCCACTAAAACTCTGACTAGTCTGAGAGCAAGGTGATTTTCACATTCAAAATAAAAATACTTTTTTCATCTTAAGGTTTACATATTTCATTTACATAATTTCTTGAACCTTTTAAATGAATATCAGGTTTGTTTGGTAAAAATTTGCTCTTTATCTCTTATTTTCTCAATATTTTTTATTACCTTATTTTCTCTACCCAAACACTAACAGTAGCAAAATCATTTGTAGTGAAAGTTGAAAAAATGTGAAAATCAAAAGTACATTTTTTTTTTAGAATGAATGAAGATTGTACAAGAAAATTACAATACTCTATCCTGACAGCTTCAGGCATCTACTCTTTTCATAAATTATTTTATTTAATTTTATTGTTCCTTGAGCTATGTCTAACTACTAAACCTGCATAACAAAAAGCAAAAATTCCCCAGCATGAGCATAGCTCATGTTACAGTGAACAAAGCATCAAATTATTTAATGCATAAGCAGCTGGCATATTTTTTTCCATTTAAGTTTTCTTATTTAACATAAAGTTTTTAACACTTACATGCTAGCTACTTCTATAATAAAAACAAATATACACAAAAACAAGAAATTTAGAACCAATCAGTATTGGTACAGTCAATAACTATGGTTAGTGGTGACAACAGAAGAGTTCAATCATCTCTAAATGGAATATAGTATTCACAAAACCTAAAAAAAATGTGAAGTGCTGTTTGTAATACTGTGTCGGGTACAGTTCTATCTACAGAGAAGGGTGCGTTGTGACCCATACGAGTTAAAAAAAATACTTAAAATATAGTTTCCAAAATGTTTTATTTTTTCCTGAGTTACTAAAACAGTATCAATGTTTTAGGTTGACTTGGATGACAAAAAATCCAAACTTGATATTCAATAACAATTCTGTACTTTAACAAATATTATAAGTTAATAAAAATTCATAACTACATAAAAAAAAAACTTTTTATTATATAAACAAAAAATAAAATTTTAAACACTGTTAACTTTATGAGACATACAAAAATAAGTCACTGATGCTGAACAACTGAAAGATTCTGTAATATAATATGCTTGTTTCATAATGTCTGTCAAATATAAAGAAAATAGAAACATACTTTTTAAATGATACATTCAAGTCACAGTAATATGTGATGTACAATGAGAGTTGATGGAAACAGAGAGAGTAAGATACGATACCCTGGTAATTTGATGACCTCCACAAGCATCCCGACACATTGTTTCCATTAGAGGTTCTCCAAACCCCAAAATCACCTCCAGATACTCTCTGTGTAATTTTTCACTATCTGATATCTGTCCCAAAACTGATATTCCTACTCCTGGTTTCTGAAAAGCTATGTAGACAAAAGGATCAAGTAAAAAAAGTAGTGTTCTTATATCAAATAAACTTGAAAACCAAAATCTATACCAATTAGAATGCACTGAATACCTTACTATTAATAACTTTTTATACAACCCTAAAAAAAATATTTTACAAGATTCTATTAGCTTCAAAGATTTAGGTTAATTTTACATCTAGATATTAATCTAATAATTCTTAATAATCTTCATGAGTGGAAAACTAATTTCAAAAATATTTTAATCCTTCAAAATGTTAATACTTTACATGATGTTTTTATATCAAATAAATGTGTTTATCATACCCATGAGACATTAACACTTATTACATGTGTACTGTTGTCATCAAACAAAAAAAAACAAACAAACAAACTATGAAACATTACAACTTACTAGTGATTTGGTATAGTTTTCATGTTACAAAAGATTTTATATCAATAGCAATCTAACAGAATCTATACTGTAGTTTTAATATTAAATAAAAATTTAAAAATCTTCCTGAAGCTACTAAGGCTATCTGCTACTGTCCTTGGTTTAAAACTACTGACCAGACGAAAGACAACTAATCAGCAGAACCCACCAACCACAATCTATACTAAGAGATTAGCTATCACTTATATAAGGCTAGTGCTGAGCAATTAACTCGATCACCAACGAGCATAAATTACACAGAAATTGTGTCACATTAAATTAACGATTAATCAAAATTTCATATAAATTAATTAATGTCACAAAAATAATTATCTAATCAAATTCAGTATTTCCAACTATATCAGTTTTTATTTCCCATTATCCAAGTAATTACATTATATCAATTATTATTTGTCATTATTATTTAAATAATTCAAGTTACTTCAGCTTAATTTATTAGTGTCATAAATGAGAAAAATAAATGTTGAATCAGCATTTTGCTGATTCAAAATTATAGATTTTCGGCTCACTTTGCACTAGAATGTGTACAAACTAATGACAAATTTTATGCCTGATAATCTCTACCTCTATTAAGTGAAGGGTCACATACTGCTAAGTTTAATGTCCCTTTGTACTGTGAAGACACATCTAAACTTTCCATGTGCTTGATTGCCTAGTTAGTTATGAATCTTCTGTTCACCATCACCTGTTTGATCACACCTATAGCTGTGTCCATATAAAATCATAAACTCTCTCCATAGAACTAAGCTTTGGAACTTATGTTAACCTTTATCTATCAGTTATCTCATTAGTCACTGTTATGTTTTTCGAGCTTATAATCAATTTCAGGAAGTAATGTTATTTTAAACCATTAATAAAAATGCAGAAGTTCTGGTAGCCTTGTGAAAATTTGTAGGATGAAAAACAAAGAACAGTTTTAATCATATTTTTAACTTGTTATAGGTTTCATATTACATTGCATATATGAAACACTTTCATATGCAACAGTTTAGGATTAAAAAATTAACTTAATCCTAAGTTTTGTACCTGAAGATGTCTATCAGATTTAATAGAGTAATTCAAAGTTGTTTTTAAAAAACTCAAAACAAGCTAAAAATGGAAAGATTAGTGGTGTGATTATACTCGATTACTTGAATGTAATCAATTAGTGAGCATGACAATTAATCAATTAGCCAATTCCCCTAATCACCCAGCTCTACTTATAACACATCCACAGTTTAAAGTGCAGGGAATATTTTATGATAAGGCACGAATTTTAATCCAGCTTGAAAGCTCCAAAATCCAGAGCTCTACAACAGGACCAGAATTACAAAAATCTTTGGGAGCACAGGCTTCTAATCATCCAGACTCTTCACTTGCTACTAATTTCCAGGGGCTAGGAAGTATTAGTGCAGAAGTACACTAAATGCAATTAACATAAACAGTAGTAGATAGGAAATACATCATGTGACTAACAAGTAGTAAATTTTGAGAGCCACCAATATAGATAATAAACATATGATGAAACTTATGTAAGACACAATAAAATTCCACATCTGACTAGCTCAGAAAGCAATAAAAAAAGTATATAGTCCAACATGACAATAAATCACATTATTATGCCCTAAATACACTGAAGTTTAATCTATTGATATATCCTATATACACAAGAACAAACAGCATCTACACTAAAAGTACTGAATAAGCACTGAGGAATACCTTGAACATCACTTGGTCTCTGAATAATTCTCAACAGATTTAATAATGCTCCATAATAGTTTGCTCTAACCCTCTGCAAACCACCTCCTGTAAACAATGAGAATAAAAAGTTGATGTTATTTTTTTATTCCTTGATATGTAAAACCTGTGATCACACACTTTTGAATTTTTTGTGGGACTCAAACTCAGCTACCAATAAGTAACAACAAACTGAGGGCAAGTAACTAACAGTTCATGGTTCTGAGTATCTGCATGATTTTTAAAGTTAACTTACACTGAATTATCGATCATGGCTGGTGATCTCAGTCTACCTATATAAATATATAAAATTATTTTTCTGTTATAAAATGTTAGCATAGGCTATTAAAGAAAATTATTGTTATTATTTTCAAGCAAATATGTTTCTTACTTACTTATCACCAACAAACTTCTTTTATTCCTTTCTAATTTTAGTAAAGTAGACAAGTCTTACTTGTGAATTTAATAGTTCTAATTATTCTAAGTAAACGTATAGGTAGTCTTACTCTTACTTTTTGATCTTTTTATCAATAAACATTTTGATTACATTACATTTCACTCTTACTTTTGCTTAACTTTCTACTATTTTACTGCTAGCTAGCATTGTAGATGACTTCTGCTTTGTACTATTATCAACAGATAATATGATTACTGAACAGAAAACTGATGGCTTTTTGTTTCGATTCTCTCCCAATTTTAGAAATTGTACATGCAAAGAAGAAAGGTTATTTTAAACATGAAAATCTCATAATTTACATACAAAGCTGAATCTGTTAACAGTACTCACCAACATTCATCAAAGATTCCAGAATCCCTTTGAGCACTACAACAAGAGATGTGGAATAGGTCATATAGTGGACGGAGTCCAGTGGCTGACTACCCCTTCCACCTTGAGAACAAATGGATGTGGACTTTGAAGGAAATATACAAGGAAGAAAACTGTGATGTAATGTTGTCATCAAGGTAAGGATGACACCTGAAGCTGCCACAGTTGCTTCTGGTAACATACTTTCTGACAGGACCTAAATTAGTTAACAAAAATGCTTTAAAGTTAATCTGGACGGTACATCTTTGTTACAAAACCTTGCAAATCAAGAAAGATACTGTATGTAAACACATACACTTCTGATACAAAGAATAACAGAACCTTATATCACAAGCACAGACATTAACTCCATATGAACAAAGTTGATTGATTTACCTACCTTGAAATTGTAAAACCACACATACAATAACTCTGAATGTACTACGTGAATCTTCTCAGAACTTTGCAAGCTGTTAGTTAACATCACAAATACAGTGTTCATAAATTATCTGACCTATTTTAAAATCTAATAACTACAAAAATATTACAGATAGAACACTCCGATTTTATTTAACTTGGCAAACAACTCAAAGTTGTTTTTGTCTTATTATACTTCCACATGTGTGCACCATTTGTTGCTTGAAGAATGTCTAAACAATACTCTATCTCCCTCCAGGTGTTGTTCAGCATCTCGGGAGCCACGTTCCTTATTGCATCAATTACTTTGTGGCAAAGATCCACGATATCACATACAGGTGTTGATTATACATGATCTTTCACAACCCCCCCAAGAAAAAATCCAATGGGTTATGTCAGGAGAACGTGGGGTCAATCATGTTGGTCCATCTCTACCAATCCATCTGTCTGGGAACTCTCAGATGACAAGAGCAGTAATTCTCATGTCACAGATCATGTTATCAGCATGTTATCAAGTGCTATGTTTCATATTGATGCTTGAGACAACGTATTTTTTAGATTTTGTATTTTACATAAGTTTTGTTAGACTTGGTTAAGACGTTAATCATTTTTATGTTAGTTGCTTTTGTAAAAAATACATAACAATAAAAAATAAATAAAATAAAAACAAGGATTTGTAGTACACTCACTGCATACCTGAGCCATTTGCACTCACAAATTTGGGTGTCCACAAAATATTCATGTAGCTTTCAAAATATCTATTTTAGAATACAAAAAATATAACAGTCACTAGAAATTCCATTAATTTATAGCACCAAATATGATCAACACAAGCTAAGAAATTCTTATCCACCAATGAATTGCAGTGAGAAAATTGTAACTGTCAGATGTACATAAAAGAGAATATACTCTTTCTATTAGTTATAAACATATCCATCAGCCATGTAAAGTTGATTAGTTGAAGAATTTCAAAAATGAGAGAGAGGGAGGGAAGCTTCACTGGAAGGATTTGATAAATTTATTGATATTTCAGATTCTTGCTCGTAATTATATACAGCTTGCATTTCCAATTGGTTGGAACTGCAGGAGCATATCTGAGAAGTCAGAAAATCCTAAAGTGGAGAAATCAAACAAAGTTTCAGGCATGTCATATGACAAAAAAATATGAACTTCAAATTTTTTTGTGTATATTTCTTTTCCAAAGTAAGAAGTTAGAACTTAAATAATATACAATTTTTCGTTATAAATTTCATTTTCATGCCAAGTTTATTGACATACATTGATAATTAAGTTGTTTAATTAAATTTTAAATGTAAAACTGTAAAAGTTCATAACATGCACACTTTAACCCAGTCATAAGGAAAGAGTTAGATAAGTTCATTTCTGGTTGCATACCTGGTAAAATATAACTCACTAAAGTTAACATAGCTATACTAAATACAGTTAGTTTTGGTGCACATCTATTAACAAAAATTAAGTAATAGTAAACACACACAAAACAAGGTCACTTCTGGCAACATGTATTATGCAGACATACTACATATTTTCTATTCCCTTATTTAATATACAATTCTACAATTAATTTTTTTTTCATATAGTGTATGTAATTTTAACGCAGAACAGTGGTTATGGAAGTTGATAAACCCCTTTCACTCTAGTTACCTATTATTGTGGGTCATTCACTAAAAGTATCATGTGCACCTTTCCATGGAAAAAATTTTTGTACAGCTAAACATACTATGAAAGTAGACAGTTATTTTTTCCACAAGTGAGTCACGTGATACATTGAGGATATCACTGCCCTTATTTTTTTATGGGAATGACCAACAGTAGAGCTGAGTGATTAGTGGCATTTGATAATCTATTAAATCTCAGGCTCATTAATCAATTACATTTAACTATTAGTTTATTATCATCTGAGACTTAGATAGTTGTAAGAATCAAAAATAGTAACAACTGGAAACAATAATTATGAGTGATTGATTACTTTCATGATATTAATGTGGTTAATTGTAATTTCAATTAATAGATTACTTTATGTGAAACTAATCGATATAATCAGTGCTCATAGGTAACCAATTAATCAATTGCCCAGCTCTACCTAACAGTGAGGTGGATAGTGCACATTCCCCGAGAATAATAAATAGCATTATTGTTTTGTGAATGTAATGCAGTGTTTTCTCAATCTGGAGTAGACTTTTCTGTAAGGTCAACAGATTCTTCTTTTTCCTCACTTAAGTCTACAGTAAAAGTGCTGTCCTTAGTAAATACATTCGTTTTTCTTGTTTTATGTATTAAATATAAATATTGTTTCACATTGTCACATACAGTGAAAGTCAGGGAACAGAATATAGTTTAACTCTGTATAGCATTTTCTGCTTAACCTTCTGTTATTCTGTAGAACCTACCCTATTACTCTAGAGAAAAACAGGCACACTTAAAAAACCATAGTATGATTGGCATAAACATTCTTCATCTATAGCTTTACTGCATAGTTAACAGTTTAGTTTAAAAAATCAAAATCCCACAAACTCAAACTATATGAGCTTATTTTTTTAGGATAAAACTCCAACTGGAATACATTAAAAGAAGCTATTCTTGATATGTATTTGGAATTACTAAATGGTAAACAATTATGAATCAACTAATCAATTAACCAAGAGCAGAACTATATGTTTAAACCATACTTTATAATGAATGCCTAAATTAAAAAACAGGTATGATATACTAAGCTCATAAGGTTAGAATTCTGACCTTCTGTAACAATTCTTGGGAAATCTCCAAAATAACTTGATGTTTCTGTAGAGCTCCAACAATGTCCACTGGACAAGCAGTAAATATTACTTCTGTCACTAACCTCCAGGCTTCCAGAAGCTGTTGCTTTGCATGCAAAATTTCACAAACTTTGTTTCTTTCTAAAGCAAACTGTAAAATACTTCGTACTTCCTGCAATATAAAAATTGGACAAATTTAAATCTAAACTGCAAACTCAACTTTTTGTTCTCCAAAAACTAAGATGTAATGATGTCACCACAGTAAGAATGACACCTGAAACTGCTACAGTTGCTTCTGGTAATATATTTTCTGACAGATCCTAAAGTAATTAACACAGGAGCTTTAAAGTAAAATTGAACAGCACACAATTAGCCAAGACAAATACTATACAAGCACAATCACCCCACGTACAAATTTTAAGAGAACCTTATGTTATTAACATCAACAGTAAATAAAGTTATTTCTGGTAATATATCTTTTAAAAGGCTTATTATAATTGATATTAACATTCTTTATCACTAGCTTTACTGCATACTTAACAGTTTATTGTAAAAATCAAAATTTCACAAACTCAAACTATATGAACTTTTTCTTTTTGGTCAGGCTAAAACCCAAATTGGAACACATAAAGAGAAGTTACTCTTGAGATGTATTTGGAATTACCAATAGGAAAACAATTATGACTTAACTTATCAATGATCATAAAGGCTATTCACCATCTACCACGACTCAACTAATTGTCATAAATAAGAAGCTCTACCTTCAACCTACAAATTATAACAGAATGACAAAAAACATAGTCAACACAGATACACTAAATACAGTCAGTTTTGGTGCACACCTATTAAAACAAATTAAGTAAAGGAAACACACACAAAACAACTAATTGTCATCAATAAGAAGCATCTACCTTCAACCTACAAATTATAACAGAATGACAAAAAACATAGTCAACACAGATATACTAAATACAGTCAGTTTTGGTGCACACCTATTAAAACAAATTAAGTAAAGGAAACACACACAAAACAAGGACACTTCTGGTAACATGTATTATGCACACATATTACAAGTTTTCTATCCCCTTATTTAATATACAATTTTTTAAATTTTCTTTCATACCAGTGTATGTAATTTTAATATAGAACAGTGGTTATGGAAGTTGCCAAATCCCTTTCACTCTAGTTACCTATTGTTCTGAGTCATGAATGACAAAAAGCAATGCATAAATATTTTAAGAACAATGAGGAAGAAAGACCCACCTAAAAAAGAAAGCCTAAAGCTTCTAGCAAAATGCTATATAATTACTTCAAAATGGAATTAATCATGCAACTGTTTAATATAAAATAATTTCGTTCAAATGTGGACAAACTGGCAGAATATTAGTTTTTGATGCAAACTGTAACACATAATATATGGCTTAAATTGTAACATTTTCTTTTTAAATGGTAATCTTTTGTTTTCTATGGATTTATACATGATCATTTATAAATGAATAGCAACAAAAGAAAGAGAGGATAATTTTTTCAAGAATGATGGACAATTTTACCTACCAAAGAATTTTAAGATTTACTTAATAGTGAATAGGTTGAACAACTTTTTACAACTGGTCATTTTTTACAAATAGTTGAATATAATCAGTCATAATCTTTTTATTTCCACGAAAGTGTCTTGAAACTCAAATTGCCAAATTATATTATATAAAGATGTATCTACTAATACTTCTATGTAATACATAACTTTATCCTCAGAACCATATGAAACCCTATGATCTGTCAGATGAAAACAAACTGATCACAGAGACATTCAAACATAAGTATAGCTATCAGTCTCAAGCTGAGTTTGTTTGACTCAATTTTTCAATGCCTCACAAGAAGTGATGTTTCTCTATAATTACTAAACCAAGTGGCATTAAATTTAGCACACATTTACAATGTAGTTATAACTTATGTGGTACAAAAATATTGTATTCTAAACAATTTTCTCTTATTTATTTTTGTTTTGTAAAATTTCATGAGGTATTCCATGAAACAATGTTTTTATAGTGCCAAAAATACACTTCATAAACTTTCTGTATTTTGGAGTATATCTAAAACTTATGTTTATGCAACTAAGGTTTGTTATGTATTTTTGTTTAAATAAAATTACATGTAATTCTTGTGTTTTTATATAAATCACTAACATACTGCAATACAAACTGCTGAATTTTAAATACTAAATCAGCAGAACCTACATTTTTTTTCTATAATGTTTACCTTTCCTATCAATATAGTTTGAAAGTATTTTATATTTATGATATTATTGTTAACCTTACTTTCCTATTTGAACAATAAATTAGATGTAAAAACAACCTGCAAGATTGTAGTGAACTCAAAGAATCAAATTCAAAAGATATCTGCACAGTTTACTCATGAACCATACCATTGCTAAAAATCCTGTTCTGCTTCAATTCAGATCGAAACACCTAGTCATTTATCAAAATAAATACAGCATTCATATATACATACTATAAAAATAATGAAAAATATAATAGTAAAAACCTAACACATACCATAAAATAATTATGAAGCCTGCAATTAGTTTGGAAAATACTGTTATTTACATAGTCTTGATGATTGTACCATTATAGTCCTTGCAAAAAATATTGTGGTTTTCATGAGTACTACATGACGAACAAGAAAAAGGGTTATTTCATACTAAACGATGTACACTATAAAACAAACTGTGGAATTTTTTTACCAGGCACAAATAGAGCACTTAGAAATTAAATTTTCAATGCCACAAGGATATCAGAAAATTCTTAAAAGTTCATACTTCAATGTGAATTTATCTTTAATAATTGTAACACTTGTATTCAAAAGATTAAAAAAACAACATAATAATACCTGCACCACTAAAGGACGTTGCCCAATTGCTGAAACACTCTGTACGCTTGACATCACTTCAGCCAAACGTCTATGGAACTCCTTTACATCAACCAGAGATGTTCTGCCTTCAATATTTACTTCGCATTCTTTCATTAATTTCTCCACTTCCACTGAATCAAAATATTCCCATCCTGGAGAAGAAGGCCAAGACTCGGTGAAACTTAGCGTGTCTAATATCTTCATAAGCTTGCGTCTTGTTGGGTCTGTAATAAATATAAGTTAAGATACTTTCAACCATGTAATTTCTGTGATATGTTGACAAGAAAATAAACAGTTGAATAAAAAAATTCAGAATAAAACATTAACAAAATGGTAAATTATTTAGTGACCTACATAAATTAAAATTATATAAATCTAAGGTACAATTACTTGACTGTTGTTCAAATTCCATTTAAACCATCTTCATACTTTCTGAGGAAAGATTAATTTAAAAAACACTGCTGTTATACAACTTCATAGTAAACTATGATTTGATTATAATTGTTGCATAAAAACAATAACTACTTTGTTTTTCATTAACACCTCAAATGTTTCTCAGTAACATACAAAAAACCAAGATATTTTTTCTAAAATGTTCATAAATTAATAGACTTTACAAATGAAAGTTAATGATGAGAATATTAAGTTAAATATATTTGACAATTAACTGAAACAATCCATAAAATCTGAGAAGAACTGAAATGTCTTAATGATACCAATCAAAATAAATTCACCAATAACTGTCTCAGAATTTGTATTTATCTAATAAGGAATATTAATCTATTCCAAACCAACCAACTAAACTAACAATCAAAACACATTAGTCTAATTCTTAAATCACTATACTCAATCAATACTAATTTCTCAAATCCACCACAATTACTTGACATCAAATCATTCTACCCTCTTACTTCATGATTAAGTTTGAATTTCTCCAGCTAACCCACAATATTTAGGGCATAAAATAATTCTATCCTCTTGTTAAGCAACTAGGCTTTTCTAAACCAAATACATCAACTGGACATCAAATCATCCTAATCTATTGTTAAAGGACTATTTTTTTCACACCAACCACACAATTTCTAAAAATGAAAACATTCTATTCTACTTTCAAGAAACAAACTTTTTCTAAACCAACTGCAATAACTGGATTTCAATTCATCTTATTTCCAAAGAACTATAAATCTTTACAGATCTAACAAAAAACAGAAATGAAATAGTCTAACCCTATTGTTAAAGAACTAGTTTTCCACACAAACCAAAGTTGCTGGACACATAAAATCTTAACTATTTGGTCAATACTGATGCTTTTTAAACTAAACAAATATATTAGAAAGAGCAAAGAATTCTATCTGTAAACAAATGACCCTTTTTATCCTCATCCTCTGTGCACAAAGTCAACCATAACAATTGTTAACAGACTTAAGTTCTAATTACATCTGCGATTAATGATTTTAATGCAGATTTAATAACAGAAGAAAACAACATTTCTACACAAAACAAACATATAAGAAAATAATTTCCAAACTTAATAAACCTTGTGTACCTTCTAAACACTATATTTAATAACAGTTTACACATATCTAGTTATAATTTTTGTTGGATTTTGCTTCCAATCTTGTGATATCCTTTCCACAAGATCAAGATGGATGGACAGGCAAAAATCAATATGCCCTACTTTGTTTCCAGAAGCACTGGAGACATAAAAAAAAATGAAGTAAATAATAAAATGCAAAATTTAATAAATAATAAAAAATATTTGCCTGAATATGATCACAATGAAAGTTCAGTATGTGCTTTATTACATATGGTTTACAAAGTTCCAATAACACATTCTGTGAATGGTTACCAAAGTTTAAGCATTGCCCTTTTTTTAAGTAACAATTCTAGTCTCAAACTATCTGAGTGACACATGAGAGAACTGAAGAAGAGTTAGACAGTTTAAAAGAATATACTTATACACATATATATTGAACTGGCTATCACTTTTAGTTATAAATATGTATGTTATTCGCTTCACAAGTTTAATTCTAAATAAAAAGCAGTTTCAGCCCCTTATATGTTGACATGTTAGACTTGAGGAACAGGTTTGGTTTCAGTTTGATATATGATATTTTGAAAAGCACCAAACAATATTCTGAAAATGTGTGTTCTGTGTGAATATTAAAATCATTACATCGTGTTTGAAGGAATGTTTTTAAAATTACCAAACAAGTTTTTCTTTTTAGGATTAATACATAAAGCATGTCTTTTATATACAAAAAAAGCCCAACTGCTATACATCCTTTAACAAGCGAACAACAATTTTATGCATCTGATCTAGAAAAGTTAAACAAATGTGGCATGAAAATGAAATACAAAAAATACTTTGTAACTTACCAGATGCAGATGATACTACAGATTGAGAAAGAAATGATGTTCCAAGAAAGCTTGTTCCAGAGTCTGATGTCATATCTGCCCCTGAAAGACATGTTCATAATAATAAATCAAAAACAGAAATATCCAAGATGGTATTCTTCAAGATAAGATATAAGTTAACTAAAGTTTTTAATGTTTTCCTTAAAAGCATAAAAAAATACTCTTAGTAATAATAAGTAAATATAAGAAACATTACAGTTTACAATAAATGATGAACTAATGCAAATCATTTTTTGTCTTAATTTGTTATAGGTCAAGGAAGAATTGTAAAATTGACAAAATAAATGCAAAAAACTGATACTTTACTATTTAAGAAGTATGACCATTAGTCAGTTATTCACCAGTGAACTGACTCACGCTATATGCCTCATCAAGGGAAGACTACGTTGTTTATTTAGTTACACTTTAAAAATAAAATTGTAAAAAATTACACAGAAAAGATTGAACTTGCAAAATTTTATTTGTGCTATTCAGTTATTTTAGTAGGAATTATGTGCATGCCAAGGTCTATCTATTTTTTGTCCTTTATAAAAGTTGTAATAAGCTTCTCATAAGCTGTGAATTGCTTTAAGTTCAAGAAAATCAAAAAATCAGTATCAATGGAATGAAGTGAAAGTATATTTACTAATTCTAGGTAAAAAAACTTTATTTTACTGATTTCACACTTCATTATTTTAAGCATACCTTTACCAATCACTGGAGTGTCTTCAAGTAAAGAAGATAATAAACGTTGGACATGTGATCGTTGGTGATGAGCAACAGTCACACGTAGTTCCACTGCTATGGCCCGTAAAAGCCATGATTGTTGATACCAGGTTAGTGTGTCTGAGGCATAAACAAATAGAAATAATTAATTCACATTCACTTGGCTATCGTTATGCAGTCTTTCATTTAACTAGATATTCGAAAATATAAAGTAAAAAAAAAATATTAGAAATGTTTACATAAAAGTAACTAATGTATCACAAATCCAAAATATTGATCTTAAAAAAACAAAAAAAAACAACTTTTATTTTAAAAAAAGCATTTTTAATTACAAAGAGTTCAATTTGTTTACTATCTAACAATACTGTTAACAATAGTATAACACCATTCAAAAAGGATATTAGTAAATTACATTTAGTTCGTTGGATGTTTGGCATGTTTTTGGTGCAAAGCAACTAAGCCATCTGCACCAAACAACCAGTAAAAACTGTATAAGTAAAATCTTTATAAAATGCAAAAATAAATAGAGTTACAACTAAACAATGTCCAAAATTCAGATAAAAGATTTAAATAGAATTAAAAAGCCTAATGGCTCATAAAATTGAAAGATACAATCAAGTTGGACAGTGTCATCATAGCCAATGTCAGGGCTAAACCCTTAGAAAACGTGTTTAAATTAGTGCTGTCACACTCAGAGTTGTAATGAAGGCATGACAGTAAAATATGGGTTATTGAAATTTGAGTGTCACAAAGGCCACATATTGGTGGATCAGTCCTGGATAAAACAATGACCAATGCATAACCTAGCCAGGAAAACTTTCTCCTTCCAAAGAACAACAGAAGGTTTGATCTGGAAAAGCTTGTTATGATGTTGCTCACTCCATGTCGACTGCTAAGTGGCATCAAACCAAGCCTTCAATACAGGACCTTAATCCATATACGGTATAGGCATGGCAGTGACAGCACCAGAGCAGGTGGACTTAGTTGCGGTGTCAGCAAGCTCGTTCCCATGAATACCGACATGGCCAGGTATCCAGAATAACTGGATACTAATGGAAGATAGAAAAAAATGGACCAACCTTTGTTGAATATCAATGAGAACAGGGTGAGAACTAAAGTTAAGCGATTCCAGGGTCAGTAGAGAGCTAAGTGTAAATAGTACAATCAGTGTACTGCATAGCTTCTACATGATCCAGGGCATGAGAAATGGTATACAACTTGGCAGTGAACACAGAAACTGTAGAGGGGATCCTGCGAGCAACTACCAAACCCCAGTAAACCAAAGCAGAACCTACAGAGTCACCTGATTTCAAACAATCTGTGTAAATGAGAACAGAAGGATAGTTCAATAGATGTTCAGTAAAGAGAATATGATACTTCCAATCAAGAGTATCCGCCTTCCTCAGATAACTCAGGGAAAGGTCACATCTGGGGATGGTAATAAGCTATGGTGGAATGGGTTGATCATTGGAGACAGCAATGCCAAACCCAATTCCTCCAGTTGCACCTGGATACATAGGCCAAAAGAAGGAATTGAAGACTATCTATTATGAAAGAGCATGGTCCACCAAGGAAGAAAGACAACCCCAGGTGGGATGCTGTGGTAAGGATCAAAAGTTGCTAACTCTGGACAGGAGAAGTGCAAAAAGTCCCTGTGCAGAATTGAAGCCCCAGATGGTGAATTGGATTCAGCATATTCAAGGCTAAGGTCCTAGCAGAACTGTAGACCAGAGATCCATAGTCCAGTTTCGATTGAATGAGGACACAATAGATCTCAAGCACAGAACACCGATCCGCTCCCCAAGAGGTGGAAGAGAGGACATGAAGGATGTTCAGTGCTCATGTATACTTGACATGTAGCTTCTTTATGTGAGGAGTGAAAGTAAGTTTACGATCAAAGATAAGCTCCAAGAACTTTGCCTCAGGAACCACAGGAAGAACAACATCATCGAGACAGAGCTCGGGATCAGGATGTAGGCCCCTCTGGTGGCAAAAATTCATGCAAACAGTTTTGGAAAAAGAAATGGTAAAACAGTTTGCTGTGGTCCACTTCAACAAGCAATTGAGGGCAGTCTGCAGCTGCCCCTCAATAAACCTCATGTTTGACGACCGACACAAGATGTGGAAGTTGTCAATATAGAGCCCATTTGCAACAGTAGGAGGAAGTTGTGTAGTGATAGCATTAATCTTGATACTGAAAAGTGTGACACTCAAGACACAGCCCTGAGGAACTCCAAGTTCCTGTGTAAAAGAACGGGAAAGAGTTGAACCCACATTAACTTAGAATCGCCCGTCCAATAAAAAGTTCTGAATAAAATGGATAAATGGCCACGCAACCCATATAAGTGGAGGTCCTG